GAGGGGCAGGGCTGGGGGGGACCGTACTGCAGGAGAGCGCGCAGGGGGTGGACCAGCACTGCTCCCCGCTATCCCCAGGTGGTAGCGAGGTCCCCCTTGCCTGGTCTGGGACAGTTTGCAGGTCATCCAGGGACCCCAGTCTAGTTTATGGCCGGGGTGGGCGGCGATGGGCAGCTCTGCGCAGCGCTGACCCGTCTGCGCTCCGTCCTTGCCTTGCCAGACCCTGTGTTTCCGCGTCCGCAAGATGATCGACGTCTATAAGCCGAACTGGTGCGAGGTCCGCGAGGACTGGTCTGTCTACCTCTTCTCTCCCGAGAACAGGTGCGCAAGGCCAGGCTTGCTGTGAGGTTAGAGCAGGGGTTGGCATGTCTGGGAGGGAGAGATTTCTGCCAAGCCAGGCAAAGCTAGCGGTGGAGGGTCTTCCATAACTTAGAGGTCCATTGTGGTCCAGTGTGGAGGGTCAGCAGGCAAGGGGGAGGATCCAGGTGTCCTATTATCCCTAGTCTAGGCCACTCCTGTGCTGGTACCAGGTTGGACAAATCGTCAAGTCACCTGGGGTGCTCCCCAGGCGGGGGCATCAGTAGACCTTCTGGAGGAGGAGGCCGGTATGCTGGGTGTTGGAGGCAGCTAGCATTCCAGTAGGTGAAGCAGGGGTTGTGAACACGTAGAGAGACTGGTCCAGGGAGAAAGAGCAGCCCGAGGGAACACCTGGGGGCAGAAGGGGAGGGTCTCAGGCCATGTGTGTCCAAGTGGCTGGGAGTTTGGACTCAGAGATTTGCACCTGTGTTTGGAGGGCCTGAGTGCCAGGGCAAAGGGGATGCCCTTTGTCCTGTGGTGCCAGTTTTTGCCGCGTGCTCGGGGGAGGCAGCTTTGAGTGGCACCCTGAGCATACACGAAGACCAGAGAAGAGAGACATCAACTTCTCTAGGCTGTCCTAGTCCTCGTGTGTGCCTGGGCCCGCTGCCTTTTTTCCTGGCTGGGGCGTGGGGCAAACCGACACTCACGTGATGCCCTGCCCACCCCACCCAGGTTCCGGGTCCTGTGTCAGACCATCATCGCCCACAAGCTCTTTGACTATGTCGTCCTGGCTTTCATCTTTCTCAACTGCATCACCATCGCCCTGGAGAGGCCCCAGATCGAGGCTGGCAGCACCGTGAGTGGCTACAGCCTTCGGGCAGGGCAAGGGACAAGGCAGAGGGGCAGGCCACCAGGGCCTGCCCTGGGACATTGTCCCCTGGGACATCAGGGGGCTAGGAGAGCTCAGCCAGGCCCAACACCACACCCCATGGAGGGACATGTGGTAGGAGCTCGCCTCTGGGGAGGGGAATGTCTCCTAAGACTGTGGCCCTTGGCTGAAGAGAGGAGGCTGACCAGGTGGCAGGGCAGTTCTGGGAGTCCCTGGGCCCACGAGAGCTCTCTTCTTTCAGGAACGTATCTTCCTCACTGTGTCGAACTACATTTTCACGGCCATCTTTGTAGGCGAGATGACACTGAAGGTAGCTCCAGGCTTCACCTGGGACCCTCTCCCACCCCCAGCTTTGGACCCCTGGCTCTGGGCCAGCCTCTCCAAAAGCTTGTCACTCACCTGCCCCTCAACCACATCCCACCCGAGGCCCCTGAGGCCCGTCCCTGCGAGGTGCCAGCCCCTAGGTTGGGCTCCAGGGACTCAGAGGGGTTCAGCCACGTCCTTAACTCTCCAGGAGCTCACATCCCCCGTGAAAGGCTAATGTAGGGAAATGTTGACGGTGCAATGCAGGTACTTGCTGCAGGTGTGGGGCAGGGGGAAGGGTTCCCTCAAGGCTACTTCCCAGAGCGCTGGGCTTTGAGTCGGGTTAGCCAGATGTGCTGGGAGCAGGGAACGGGGTGGCCCGCTGGGCCTGTTTCAGGGGGCGGTGGGGAATGTGTCCCCTGTCAGACCATCCGCCCTGCCCTCTGCGGGACTGGTCCCCACATGTCCCACCTGACCTCGCCACGCCCCTTCGCAGAGGCTGGCCACACCCCGCCCCGTCCCCAATCGCCATCCGGCTGACTCTGCCCATTGCCCTGCCCCCAGGTGGTCTCTCTGGGCCTGTACTTTGGTGAGCAGGCGTACCTGCGCAGTAGCTGGAACGTGCTGGATGGCTTTCTCGTCTTCGTGTCCATCATCGACATTGTGGTTTCTGTGGCCTCAGCCGGGGGAGCCAAGATCCTAGGGGTCCTTCGGGTCCTACGGCTCCTGCGCACCCTACGCCCCCTGCGGTGAGGACTCCTTCCCTGCGGATGGGGGAATCCCTGCACGGTCTAGTGAGCTCCTGGGGTCTAAGTGGACCCTTCCCTCTGGCCCTTCTTACGCACTCAGCCCTCTGATAGCCAGATTTGTGCGGACAGGGACCAGACTGTTGATGCTGCTCCTGGGAGAAGAGCCCGGAGACCCTGGCTGGAGTGGGGTGCTGGAAAGGCGGGGCTGAAGGTGGCCCCCAGGACTGCTACCCACTTTCTGTGTGTCCCTGGGTGGCTCGCTGCCATCTCTAGCCTTCAGTCTCTAGATGATGGTGTGGTGTGGACCCCAAGGGGACGGGCTTAGGGCATAGCACACTGCTGTGCATATAGATCTGAGGTTTGGGGTTCTCCTCCCTGGTGACTCTGGGAAGAAGTGGGTGCTTTCTCCAGACATGGCTGTGGGCTTATGGTGCCCTGGCCCCTGTCTGCCTCCAGGGTCATCAGCCGAGCACCTGGTTTGAAGCTGGTAGTGGAGACGCTTATCTCTTCTCTCAAGCCCATTGGCAACATCGTCCTCATCTGCTGTGCCTTCTTCATCATTTTCGGCATCCTGGGGGTGCAGGTGAGGGGTGCTCAGGCTGGGCAGGCACTGCGGTGAGCTTTGGGGTTGGGCAAGGGACTCCGCATTCCTGTTCAACTCTCCCGACCTGTGTTGACCAACCTGGGGGCTCAGGTGGTCCTGCCAGAACACCCATGTCCCTGCCAGCCACAAGCTCCCAGTCCAGGGAGAGGGGCGGACACAGACCTAAATGTCTGAGTGCAAAGAAGCCTAGGTAAATGGGATTCCAGGGGTCCAAGCTACACAGAAACACAGGGCCGGGCTGGCAAGAGGAAAAGCATCCTGGAGGAAGTGGCCTGGGCACTGGGCCTTGAAGGGGAAGTGATTCCACAGGTCATGGATGGTGGAAGGTGTTTCAAGGGAGGCTGGGCACGTGTGTGCAGGTGAGCTCAGGAGCTAGGGCTGGCACAGAGCCAGGAGCCAGATGGTGGGCTGGGCCAAGGTGGGAGAGACCTGGAATGGCAGCTAAGAAGTTGGGGTCAGTTGGGGTGCATGGGTAGCTCAGTCAGTTAAATGGCTGCCTTTGACTCAGGTCATGATCCCAGGGTCCTGGGATCGAGCCCCACATCAGTCTCCCTGCTCAGCAGAGAGCCTGCTTCTCCCTCTCCCTCTCCCTGCTGCTCTGCCTACTTGTGCTCTCTTTCTCTGTCTTTCTAATAAATAAATAAAATCTTAAAAGAAAATAAAAGAAGTTGGGGCCAGTTTCTGTGGAGGTAGAGACCATGGAGAGGCTCTGACACAGGGACGGACTTGAGCTAACTCGAATTTTGGCTTGGAGCCCAGGAGTAGGATGGGGCCTTAGGGCTGGACAGGGAGAAGGAATGAGGCATATCATAAAAGTGTGTGGCAGGGTGATGGCTAGAATGACCTGGGCCTTCTGGGTTCTGAGCTGCAGCTGGGAACTTCCTCTTTCTTGTCTGAGTCCTGAGCTGAGACCTCCAGGCTCCTCACCTGGTCCCGGGTTTGGGGCTGGAGCTGCAGAGAGGAAGGGCTTGATGTGGCCTCCATGTGGACAGTGGCCCTGCCCCTTCCAGGCAGGGTGCTTGGATCCCTAGAGAGGGTCCCTTTACCTCTCTCTCCCCACTTGGGGATATGCAGGCAACTTTCTCCTGTGGAGTCCCTGCCCATATTCTCAGGACTGAGGTCTGCGGAAGAGCCCAGGAATCAGACAGACGTTGGATCTGCCTCTTCATTTTTTTTTTTTTTTTAAGATTTTATTTATTTGACAGAGAGAGAGAGAGCGAGAGAGGGAACACAAGCAGGGGAAGTGGGAGAGGGAGAAGCAGGCTTCCTGCCAAGCAAGGAGCCTGATGCGGGGCTGGATCCCAGGACCCCGGGATCATGACCTGAGCTGAAGGCAGATGCTTAACCAATTGAGCCACCCAGGCACCCTGACTCTGCCCCTTCCTAAACCTCATATGACTTTGGGAAAATTACCTAGCACCACCGCGCCTCAGTCTCCTCATCGGTGAGATGGGCTGAGAGCAGCCGAACCCCATGTTGGGGGACTTGGTGAGATGCTGTGCTGAGCGCTTTGCCCAGGTTGTGCACAGAGGAAGTGCCCCCTGTGGGGCAGGTCCCTTCCCGATTTGCATTCCCCCCCATCCCCAGCCTGGGTAGACTGGTCCGCTAACCCTGTGGTCCTTCCTCCCCCTACCCCCAGCTCTTCAAGGGCAAGTTCTACCACTGTCTGGGCGTGGACACCCGCAACATCACCAACCGCTCCGACTGCGTGGCCGCCAACTACCGCTGGGTCCACCACAAGTACAACTTCGACAACCTGGGCCAGGTGAGCCCCGCCTGCGTACCCGTGCCCTGACCCCCGCTCCCCAGTGGATGGGGGGTACAAGCTCTTTGGTGCCAACATCCTGGGATCACAGATCAGGTTCTGGTCCAGCTCTGCAGGGACTGACCCTGTGACTTCTTCCTAGGGCTCAGTTTTTCCCTCCTGCAAAATGGGTATGGGGGGAGCTCACGTCACCAGCAGTGCGAGGCTTAGAGATCCCGAGTGCTGCGTGTCTTGGGAATGCGAGGTGTTTGGAGGGGTTTCAGTGAACACTGGTTCCTGGCCTCCACCTCCCCACCCCGGGGACCCGGACAAGAGTTTTAGAGACAACCAGACCTGGGTGTGAATCCCGGCTCTGTGCCAGTTACTGTGGGCCTTCTGAGCCTCCATTTTCTCATCTGTAAAATGGGAATGTGATGGCCTAGCAGGCAGGCAATGGTAACAGAAAGTAGCAAGCCCCTGGTCCAGAGTGGGTTTCCTCTCCCAGCACCCATCTACTCTGCTCTCCACCTCAGTGGGCAGGCAGGCCCCCTGCCCAGTTCCTGCCTTGCCCGTGATCCCCTGTCCTAGGGGCCTGCCGGGCGTCGCCCATCTGGTCTTGCCCCAGATGAGAAGAGCTTGAGGGCAGCTAGGTGTGATCAGATGGGGAGTGCCTTCCCCAGGTCACACGAGGAGGGAACGAGATCTGGGTCTGTGGGACCCTGGGCCTATGTCCTGCTCCTCTACCAGGGACGCTCTGGCTGGATGCCACCGAAGCTGTCCCCTCACGTGACCAGGGATCCCACTTGCCATGCCCCCTGGGAGCGGAGCCATGGGCCCTAGGGCAGCAGCGAGTGGGCAGGGAAAGGGAAGTCAGGAACTGGGACACAGGAGCTCCCCTATCCCCTCCAGATTTTCTAGAAGCAGTGCCTTTCAAGTTGTTAATGACTCAGTGGTTGATAAAACAAGAGGTTTGAAAAAAAAAACTGTTCCGGGAAGCTGAGGGAAAGCCTGCGGAGGCCTTCTAGGAACCTGTTCCCGACTCCCTGAGCTCAGCGCCAGGCCCAGGGCCCCATTCCCAGGGAGCATCCCCAGCCCTTTCCCATTCTGGGTCTGCTTGATGCCAAGCTAACACCCCAGGAAGGTGTTCTTGAAGTAAGGTGTTCTCAGTGCCCATACAGGGGAGTTAGAGTGTGGCCCAGAGCCTTTGGCTGCTTGCCAGGCCACTCAGGAAGGTTTTAGTGTCTGTGCTTTGGTGCCCTCCCCTGTAAAGGGGGAAGTGACAGCAGCTGTGTGTTTCCCGGGGCCCAGGCTCTGCACTTCAGGCCTCTGTGACCCCAGGGTCCCCAGGAACATTTGCCTCTTGGCATGTGAGGGCTTTGTGTCCTTGCCTGGCCACGAGGGCTCCCTCTGTGTCTCTTGCTCTGTCGTCCTCCTGGGCCTGAGCCCTTTCCAGGCAGCCCTCAGCACCATTCCCAGCTGGAGGGGAAGAGGTGGAGTCTGTGCCCTGGGGGGTGGGAAGGAGGGTCCCCGCACCTGCGGGGCAGGAGACCCATCCCAGAACACCACTTCCCTGCCCGGGGTCCCTGGGCCACAACAAAGGAGCCAGTGTGAGCTTGAACCGGGGAGCTTCTGGAGTGGGTGTGTGACCTCTGGTCAGCCGCTGGGGATTGGGGCTCTGCAAGGACGGCGCTGCGCTGCTGTCCACCTCTGAAAACCTTTATTGAGTACCTGCTGTGTGCAGGGCACTGTGCTAGTGCTGCAGGACCAGCCCGTCAACCTGTTGAGGGGACATGCGTGTGTTTTGGCCTGCCCTCTGTGTAGGAGCTTTGGCTCATGTCTCTTGGGCATTCCTTCCATTTAAAAAGTCTCACACTAGTGAAGGCAATTATTACCATTCACAGACAAGGAAGCTGGGGACCAGAGAAGTTGAGGAAATTGCCCTGCGTCACAGCCACTGAGTGGCAGAGCTTGGGCGGTGCCCAGGGCTCCTGACTTCTCTCATAAGCTCCTGCTTTCAGGTGCTAGAGGCAAGCTTGGGTGATGGTGGCAGGGCCTCTCATGCTTGTCAGGAACCTTCCAGTTTAGTCTCAGCAGACCCAGCTGGCAGGCACTTAAGCCTTAGCTCCATTCTGTGGGCGAGGGGACAAGAGCTCATGAATCTTTTCGAATTAATTTTCAGAGCCAAGCCCAGGACTCCTGGTTTAGTGCTCACTCACCTGCAAGAGTGTCTGTGGGGTTTATGGCAGGCACTTAGTAGGTTCTCAGGAACGGTTTGTTATCATCCTCAGGGAAGACCTCTGTCTCTCTGCCTCCTGAGGGCAGAAAAATGGAGAACTGTCTACACCTACCACCCCAGGTCCTCTCCCTCCTGTGTCTTCCAGGCCCTGATGTCCCTCTTTGTCCTGGCCTCTAAGGACGGCTGGGTGAACATCATGTACAATGGACTGGATGCTGTCGCTGTGGACCAACAGGTGGGGGTGGGCTGGGGCCAGTGCAGTGGGCAGTGAGGGAGGGACAAGGTATCTCTGGGGCCCAGTTGTCTAAAACTGGCATCAGCAGGATCCCCAGCCCGGGTGTCTCCTCCTGTCAGCCATGGCCCACCCCCCCACCGTCCTAGCCTGAATCTTCCACCATTAAGCTGCTCTGAGGTAGCATAAGTCATTGTGCCATTTGCTTCACAAACCCCCTGCTATGCAGGAAGAAGATGCTAGACTGGCTTCTGCATGGAGGGTCAGAGCCTTGTGCCTCTAGAACCAAGTGTAGGCAGAGGAGAGAGGGTGAGCCGGTTGGCAGAGGGACAGCAGGGGCAGGCCCGACGTGAGAGAGCACCATGTTCAGGGAGTCGTGAGTTGAGGGTAGGAGGTGGTGGAGGGGCTGGGCAGGGCTGAAAGGTCAGGAGGCCCCTGTGTGTGCCAGGGCATAGGGCTGGAGTTTAGCTGAGGGCAGTGGGAGTCAGGGAGGGTGTTACGGCCCGGTCCGCTGTGGAAGCTCCCGGAGGCTCATTATCGCGGTACCCCGTGGTCGGCCTGCCTCAGCCCCATCTGCTGCTTCCCGCAGCCCGTGCCCAACCACAACCCCTGGATGCTGCTCTACTTCATCTCCTTCCTGCTCATCGTCAGTTTCTTTGTGCTCAACATGTTTGTGGGTGTCGTGGTGGAGAACTTCCACAAGTGCCGGCAGCACCAGGAGGCCGAGGAGGCTCGGCGGCGCGAGGAGAAGCGGCTACGGCGCCTGGAGAAGAAGCGCCGGAGTGAGTGGGTGGCTGCGGAGGGTGGGGCCTCCCCGGCCTGGGCCGCCCCTCCTGTGTGCGCCCCATCCTGTGTGCGCCCTGCCTACGTGAGCCCCATCTCTTCCTGGTGCAACAGCTGATTTTCCCCGTGCATCCTCTGGGCCTCGGGGGCTGGAAGGGAACAGAGGGTCGACTCTGGACCTCTGGCCCTGCCCCCCCCTTCAGAATCTGCCTGTCCAGGTGATGTGATCCCCTGTTGCTGTCCACTGACTCCACTGCTGGCCCCCTGCTGGCTCAGTTCCTGAGAGCAAAGGCCTGGATGCCTAGCCATGAGCTGCGGGACCCCTTCCTTACCCCCAGCAGATCCGGAGCCCCTGCCATGGGCGTATTTGGAGGAGATGGGGACAGTCATTGTCCTGCCCTCCACCACCTCCTACCTCTTTTCCTTGAGTCCCCATCATCAACTGGGCAGAAGAGACCTAACTCTGACTCTTGGGGCCTGGGGTGTTCTGACGTCTCTCCCCTTGCTTCCTCCCTCCCCTGTGCTGTTCTCTCCATGTGCTCTGTTCCCTACCTGGGCCCCAACCCTCTGTGGTTTGTGCCATTCCCCGCCCCCTCAACATCCCCCCGCAGAGGCCCAGCGGCTGCCCTACTATGCCACCTATTGTCCCACACGGCTGCTCATCCACTCCATGTGCACCAGCCACTACCTGGACATCTTCATCACCTTCATCATCTGCCTCAATGTGGTTACCATGTCCCTGGAGCACTACAATCAGCCCACGGTGAGCCCTGGCCCCAGCCCCAGCCTGAGGTCACATGGTAGGGTTGGGTTCTCAGCAGGACCCAGGGACAGGGTGAAGCAGGAGGGTCTGAGCAGCACCCCCATTTGGGGCCCTGGGCCCAGGAAGCTCATGGCCTGGTAGGACAAATGAGAGAAAGGGAAATGTCACTTGCTCTTGGTGAGTGGGGAGGTGACATTCGGGCCCAGCCTTGAACATGGGTGCCAGTGGCAGTGGTGTGTGCAACGTGACTCCGCAAGAGAGGCTACAGATATTAACTCTAATGCTCACAGCAACCAAAGGTGGGGGAGGAGCCTTTCTACAGATTTTGTAGAGGAAGAAACTGAGGCTCAGAGGACATATGCTACCCAGAATACTTAGCCTATAAGTAGCAGAGCCAGAACTGGGACTCAGATTTGCATTCAAGGCCTACCATGTGGCCTCCACTACTGCCCAGGCATATGGAGCCTGGGGGAGGGGCATTCCTGTGGCAGGACCATTGGAGGCAAACACTGGCCTGGAGGGAAATGACTAGTTGCCAGCAGCACTGGTGAGGGGCATTCAAGGAGCATGTAGGGACAAGTGCATTCTAAAAGCCTCAACATTTTGGAGCTAGGGGGACGAAGGGTGAAGCTGAGCCTCTAGGTGAGGTTTTGGTATCTTGTTTTAAATGACAGGAGAGGTATATTATAAATGCAGGGAAAAGGAAGGCAACCATTGGCAGAATGAACAATAATTGTAGAACTTCCAAATTAATATGAAGAAGTAGGGTAACGATGCTGACTATTTCTTGTGTGTCCAGCACTGGACTATTCCCTCACTTAATTTGTACAGCAACTCTTTGAGGTAGGTACTGTTATCATCCCCCATGCATAGATTTTGGAACTAAATCCCAGAGAGGTCAAGTGACTTGCCTAAGGTCACATAGTGAATAGGGAGTGTGTGCTGGGCCAGGATTTATATCTAAGCAGCCTTGTTCTTAATCATGATCTTTAACCATTGCCTCATACTGCCTCCGGAGGGGTAACGACCAAACCAGCAGAAATAAGGAAGAAACAGCAATGTAAAACAAATAGTGCATGTTAATTAAAATGGGGGGGGGGGGAAATCTGATATAGAAACCATTGCACTAAATGTGAGTGGACTAAATTCTCCCCTTAAAAGGCAGAGATTTTCGGGGTGCCTGGGTGGCTCAGTGGGTTAGGCCTCTGCCTTTGGCTCGGGTCATGGTCTCGGGGTCCTGGGATCGAGTCCTGTGTCGGGCTCTCTGCTCAGTGGGGAGCCTGCTTCCCCCATACCACCTGCCTCTCTGCCCACTTGTGATCTCTTGTCTGTCAAAGAAATAGGTAAAATCTTAAAAAAAAAAAAAAAGGCAGAGACTTTCTGAATGGAGGAAGGTAGGGGGCAGCCCCTGGGGTCTGGATCATGCTTCTCTCTGCCCTCCATAGTCCCTGGAGACAGCCCTCAAGTACTGCAACTACATGTTCACCACTGTGTTTGTGCTGGAGGCTGTGCTGAAGCTGGTGGCGTTTGGGTTGAGGCGCTTCTTCAAGGATCGGTGAGCAGCTTGGCTGGGCTGGGGCAGCATGGAGTGGGCTGCTGGATGGGGAAGGAGTCCTGACCCCTGGGGAAGCCTGGAACAGCCAGAGGAGGGAAACCAATAAGTGGGCACTGACGGCCAGGGTCCCCCAGGTGCTGCCTGCAGCTCTGAACAGGGAGTGATTATGGTCCCACCTGACAGATACAGGGCACTCTCTTATGTCTCTTCAGTTCATCTTTCATGGGTCCTCCATAACTCACAGGCTGAATGGGGCGTACCTCACGCCAGTCCTTCTTTTCAGAGGGAACAAGTGAGGTTCAGAGAAGTTGATGGACTAGCCCAAGGTCGCATGGAGGGAGCAGGCTCAGGATTCCAATCTAGAAGTCATAGCTCATTCCTCTTCCTCTTCAGGAGGCCAGAGATGTTTATTTAACATGGTCAGCCTCTCGCTTGAGAGATTGGAGGCTGTGGGGGTCAAAGAGGGAGCCAGACTCAGTGGGGTCTGGTGGGGCTGGTAGGGAGGGTGACCACACATAGCCGTGGGCCTCAGCAGGAGGGTGGAGATCTGTGACACTCCTCCCAACCTAGGCATTTCTAAGCCAGAGCGTTTCTCGCCCTGCCTCCCACTCTTGCCCTCTCCTGCCCGGCTGAGCAGGTGGAACCAGCTGGACCTGGCCATTGTGCTGCTGTCAGTCATGGGCATCACACTGGAGGAGATTGAGATCAACGCAGCATTGCCCATCAACCCCACCATCATCCGCATAATGCGGGTTTTGCGCATCGCCCGGGGTGAGGGGCATGGGGGATGGGGTGGGGATGGGCAGGGGCTGGATGGGACTCCCAGGGGTGGGGTGGGGAAAGGCATGTGGGCATAATGGGCTTTCTGCTGAGCAGCGAGAACAGCAGCCAGGAGGAGCACATACCAGACATACACACTTGCCCCTGTGTGTACACTCTCATGTGCCCTTGTCCACAGACTGCTCTGTATGGCACACTGTACCTCCACCTCCTTATTTTTTTAAAGATTTTATTTATTTGGGAGGGGGAGACAAGCCAGAGGAGAGGCAGAGAGAGAGGGAGAAGCAGACACCCTACTGAACAAGGAGCCCGATGCGGGACTTGATCCCAGGACTTGGGGATCATGACCTGAGCCAAAGGCAGAAATTTAACCGACAGAGCCACCCAGGCATCCCATCCCTTCTCCCTATAACACCATGACCCATGTGGACCAGCCTCAGGTTGGGATGAAAGGAATTCAGGGCAGCTGGGAAGGCACCGGGAACTCTAGTTCCTTGTGGGCGTGAGTCCAACACTGGCTAAGATGTGCAGTCCTCGATGCTTCTCACAACCTTTGCTTCCCCCAGAAGTCCCTCTCTCACCCTGAGGCTGGGCCTACACTCCCTTCACAAACCTCCCGCCTCTGGCCTGGTGCCTCCCGGTCTTTTGCTTCTCCACCTGCAACAGCTTGTTGCCTCCAGGCTCCCAGGTGGGGACAGTGTGGAGAAATTCAGCACAGAAGTCTGGAGCTTTCTTTTTTAGCCTGAGGGAAGGGAGAGATGTGGGCACTCGGGTACGTTGGCCTCATCTCAGTGAACTGTGCTCACGGACACACTTTGGTCCCACTGTGTGTGTGCCTGCCTTCTCTTGGACACATTCCCACCGACACCTGCACCTCGTGAATGCACCATTGTGCACACCCTTGTTCAGGGACACCCGTGTACTTATGGTGTGGCATCCCGGAGCTGTCCCTTTTGCTCACATGCTCCTCTGGCTTCTCCCTTCTCCACCTCACTTTTGCGCGCGCACACACACACACACACACACATACACACACCTCCACCACCACCCCCGCCCCTCACACACACTGCCTGCCTCTGGGCTGAGTGGGCCGGGCTGGGTCTCGCCTGCAGTGCTGAAGCTGTTGAAGATGGCTACGGGGATGCGGGCCCTGCTGGACACGGTGGTGCAGGCTCTGCCCCAGGTAAGAGCCTGCTTGGCTGTCACTGGGGTCTCACAGGTCCTGGGTTCCCTTCTCCAGCCTGCCCAGAGACAGGGCAGAATCCTGTCTCCAGGGTCGAGGTTTGAGCCCGGGGCTGTGACAGAGGGAAAGGGCCCCCTGTGCCTCTTCCTGACTTCAAGTGCTCACAGAGCCTGTTCCATTCCAGGCCCTGAGCTGGGTTCTGACAACTCTTACGGGGCCCTCAGGAGTGTCCAGGCTAGTGGGAAGACAGATGGCTCCGGACAATGTGAGGAGGAGAAGGAGGGGTCCTGACACTCCCTGGGGAAATCAGGGCGGACATCAGGGGACTGTGAACTTGACTTTGTGGGGTGGCTTGGCAGAAGGAGGTGGTGATGTGGATGGGAGGTTCAGATAGGACCTGTTTGGTGGGGACAGCATGAGACGCTGACCTGGGTGGAAACCCCAGCAAGTAGGAAAGCGCACATCGCCTCATCCCATTGGCCAGTGGAAGGGAGAGAGGATCAGGGCCACACAGGATGTGACTTTCGTCTTCCTGGGAAACCCGAAATCCCAGTCCTCCCCTCCCTGTCTGTCCTGACTCCTTAGGACTCCCCTTCTCCCTCACCTCAGGGTGGCCTCTGCACTGGGGAGAGCCTCATACACATTTGTTTATTCATGATGACTCATCTAGTCTTCAGGAATTTTAGGCATCTTAAAGGGCACAATCCAGCATGATAAAAATGAGGATAAAAAATTAACCAGCCCAGGGAAGGTGGAAACAGAGCTAATTCTCTCAGGCACATGGGCCAAGGAAGCTCGCGAGTTTGCCGTGAGTGTCCCAGCAGCCTCCTTACAAAGGGAAAGCAACACGGCTCTCATCAGGTCTGGAGGCAAAGCAAGCAGGGATGTTCATTCAAACAGATGTGGCTTTTCCTAACATGCAGTCCCTTCGGAGGAATTTGTCACATGGAGATGCCCGGGAGGTCCCATCTTCAAGTAGGAAACATGATAGTAAGACAGTCACATCAGCACTTTTAAGAGACGTGCACATCAAGTACCACGTAGGATGGGGGACTTATCCTCAAAATCTTTTAGCTGTCATATGGACATCAGACATTTTCTCCATTCTGTGTAAAGTGCTATGAAAATAACACTTCCACCAGTCTCTGCCCCCTGCAGAGAGAGGAGGCACCAAGGAAGGCTTCTCAGAGGAGGTGACTCTTGACCTGGGCTTTGAGGGGTCGGGCAGAGGCACTTACTAGGCAAAGATAGAGAAAGGGTCTTCCCTGCATGGGGAACAGAATGTGCGAATGGAGTCTGGTTTCTGTGTGGCTGGAGTCTGCGATGGGAAGATCAGGCCGGGGTGGGGGCTAGTCCACGGGGCTAGGTTGCAAAGGGCTTCGATGCCAGGACAGTAAACTCGGGCTTTATCCTGTGGGCAGTGGGCATCATAAGAGGTTCTGGAAAGGGGAGGCCTCAAGCAGGACGGCCTTTAAGGAGTGGGTTAAAGGAGAGGCTGGAGGCAGGGAGGCCAATGAGGAGGCTGCTGGGCTGTGCAGTCTCTAGGAGATGCCATGGGTGGAAGGTGAGGTCCACCCTGGTTAAGAAGCGCTGCTCACCTGGGCCTGCAGAGGGCGGGAAGCTGACCGGAGGTCCAGGGCCACATTCACTCCCTGGCTTCAGAGGTGCGCAGTACGTGCCTGCACTGTTAATGAGCAGAGTGTCTTCTAATGAGTCAGACGCTACTGGTGTGGTTGTACGACAGCTCGGAAGGAAGTCCTCCTGCAGAGCAGAGAAACATTAGGGGGCTGCGGTTAAAATGGTTTACTTTTCAGCAATCAATGCAAACCCTCTTCTGATTCTGTGCATGCAGGACTTCTGAGAGTTCCGGGAGGTAGACCGTTTCTAGGGCAGGAATGTTCTCTAGGCTTATCTCATCCATAGCATGCGTTAGAGGCCATTTCCCGTGTATGGCTGGATTTGAAATAGCTTTATAATCAGGGACATTTTCTTCCCACAGGAGCCGTAGGACCGGGGTGGCTGGGTTTGTGGGAAGCTTCTGGGGCTCACGACCCTGCGTGATTCCTCTGTTTGCTTCCCTCCACGGCCAGGCCCTGTGCGGGCTGGAGGAGGCAGACCCAACCTAACCCAGTCCCGTCCCGGCTCTCAAGGACTTCTCGGCCCTGCAGAGGCTGGTGGTGGGGACACGGGCAGCAGCGCTGTTGCTGAGGCCCCCCCGCCCCCCGCCTCGCTCTCTGCATTCATTCGCGGGATGTGGTCTAGCACACGTGTGTGTGGAGGAGTGATTGGGCCTGCCGGGTTTGAATCCTAGTCCTCCCGCTTACTAGCTGTGTGACCTCGGCAAGACGATTCCCCACTCAGTGCGTGTCTTTGTCATCTCCAGGATGGGGTAACGTGTAGCTCGTAGATGGCTATGCGGGGTAAGCGAGCTTACGAATCGGAGGTGTTTGAAACCGGCAGCTCGGGGGAAGGGCTCTACCCGCATTTTGTTATTCTGTGTCCTTGTGGGACCTGGCCTCCTCCCCGGGGGAGCCGCTGTGGGGTGAAGGCCCAGGGCACAGAGCCGGACCCTCAGGCTGGCCCCGCCCTGCCTGCTCTCCCCGACAGGTGGGCAACCTGGGCCTTCTCTTCATGCTGCTTTTCTTCATCTATGCCGCGCTGGGCGTGGAGCTGTTCGGGAAGCTGGGTGAGTGCCTCCCGAAGCAGGCCCAGGCTGGTGAGGGGGCAGAACAGGCCCAGAGGAGGGCGTTAGCAGGGTGGGGAGGCCGCAGACGTGGCCAAGTGTCCCATCAGGGTCTTTGTAGTGGGGGATGTCCCCACAGCTGGCCTGCGTGGGGACAGAGGGGTGACCCTCAGCCGTTGACGCCCGCCCCCGGGATGGGTGGTACTTTTGAGAGACGCCAGCCTGGATGCAGTAGCATATGTGAGGCCTGCGCAGCAGAGCCCTGACTGGGAGCCCCCCACTGTCTGAGCTCCCAAGGATGACCCTTCTGGCCTTGTGTGCCAGTGCTCGTCCTGAGCCAGTGCGGCCCCAGTGAGCAGAGCGAGTGGGGCACAGGCCGAGGGCAACATAGCCCGTGCCGAGCCAGCCCTGCATGGAGTTGGTTTCAGAAAGCGGGGCTCCCTCGGGGGCTGGCCCTCACCCCTGCTTCCCTTCTCTCAGGACCTGATACACCAGTGAGGGGAGGAGCCAGGCTCCCAGAGTCTGAGTGCCAGCTGGTGTGCCCCTTCCTGAGACTCAGTTTCTCCATCTGTGGGCTGAGCACAGTCCACACGCACCTCCAAGGACTGGGGACCCTGAGATGAGGCTGGGAGGCCCTGGTGCAGGGTGGGCTGGGCAGGGGACTCTGCAGTGGGACAGGGCTGACTTCTTTTCGCCTTTCAGTCTGCAATGATGAGAACCCCTGTGAGGGCATGAGCCGGCATGCCACCTTCGAGAACTTCGGCATGGCCTTCCTCACGCTCTTCCAGGTCTCCACCGGCGACAACTGGAATGGGATCATGAAGGTACCTGGGGGCGGGCTGGGGAGGGAGCCAGCGGGTTGGGGTCAGGGGGCAAGGGTCCTGACAGCTAGGGCTCCCACCCAGCGCTCCACCGCACACGGGAGGGGAGAGCAGGGCTGCGGGAAGCAGAGGGACCTGCTTGGGGCTCTGAAGCCCAGCGCGGTGGAGATGAGCCCAGAAATCGTTCTCAGGGTACCTCTGCCTGCTGCTCTGGGATCAGGGCTACGCCCAGGGCCAGAGGGGACTTGGGGCCCACAGCCCAGGGTCAGGGGCTGCAGGCACCGGTCCTCCTCGCCTGTCCACCCCGGGGAGGCTCCCTGGCTGTGGCCCACGGCCCAGCCTGGGCGGGACGGGGCTCAGGGAGCGCAGAGCGGAGGCGCCGGGGCCCTCGCCAGGCCCTCACAGAGCCTCGCCGCCCCCGGGGCAGGACACGCTGCGCGACTGCACCCACGACGAGCGCAGCTGCCTGAGCAGCCTGCAGTTCGTGTCGCCGCTGTACTTCGTCAGCTTCGTGCTCACGGCCCAGTTCGTGCTCATCAACGTGGTGGTGGCCGTGCTCATGAAGCACCTGGACGACAGCAACAAGGAGGCCCAGGAGGACGCCGAGATGGACGCCGAGCTGGAGCTCGAGATGGCCCACGGCCTGGGTCCCAGCCCGCGACCGCCCGCCAGCTCCCCAGGGGCCCCCGGCCGGGGCCTGGGCGGGGTGGGCGGCGGGAGCGACGCCGAGGGCCGCCTGTGCCGGCGCTGCTACTCTCCGGCCCAGGTGGGCAGGGGTGCAGAGGGCGGCACCTCAGGGCTGGAGGGGGCAGTCGGGCGTCCGAGGCCTCAGGCAGAGACCTGGGTCGTTTTGAGCCCCGCCCTGCCCAGCTCCGTTGAAGGGGTGACCCTGTGACGAGGGGGTTGGGTCCCGCCCGCCCCATAGTCCCCCCCCCCCGGAGCCGGCCGATAATCCCGCCTGTCCCCACCCCGTCCCCGTCCGCCTAGGAGAACCTGTGGCTGGACAGCGTCTCTTTAATCATCAAGGACTCCTTGGAGGGGGAGCTGACCATCATCGACAACCTGTCCGGCTCCATCTTCCACCACTACTCCTCGCCGGCCGGCTGTGAGAAGTGTCACCACGACAAGCAAGAGGTAATGGCGGCCTCAGTGGGAGCTGGTGCCTCGTGGTGGGGGCAACATGAAGTCTGGTGGAGGACAGCCCAAGGGACGAGCGCTGTTCAGCTTCCAGGGGTGCTGAGTCTGAGGGCAAGTGGACCAGCGTTGGCGTTCACAGTCTGTGACAATGAGGCTGCCCGAGGGCCCGGCCCCAGCCTAGCACTGTGCTGACCGTCACACCATCGTGTGTCCCCCACCCCCTGCTCAGACTGGGTCCCCAGTGCGTGGAGGCATAGCTTCCAAGCTCAGCAAATCTCTGCCCCTCTAACCACCTGCTTGTGTCTTACTAGAGGACCAGGCCTGCCCCCTCCCAGCCCCCAGGGTGACCTGAGGCGGCCACCTCTCCCTGCAGGTGCAGCTGGCCGAGACAGAGGCCTTCTCCCTGAACTCAGACAAGTCCTCCTCCATCCTACTGGGTGATGACCTGAGTCTCGAGGATCCCACAGCATGCCCGCTCGGCCCCAAGGACAGCAGGGTGAGCCGTCCCAGTGGGCTTCGTGGGGCTGTCCCTGCAGGCTGGCCTCTAACCGGCCAGCCAGGACACTGCTTCTTCCTCCTGCACCAAAATAGAAGCAGCATCTGCTGTGTGACAGGCCCTCCTCTGTTGTTGGTCGGATGAAGGCAGTGGGGCTCAGAGAGGTATAGTGATGGACCTGAAGTCACACAGCAACAGGCCCAGCTGGGCCCCCAGGCATGGCATTCAGTGGCCTCAGCCACTCCTTGTTTCTTTGGATATTTTTTTATCCATTTAATGGGGGTTGTTCCAAGCAGGACAAACTCATAGGTGGGGATGGGGAAGGGGGCTCGAGGCTGAAGAGGACCGAGGACGGCGGCACCAGATGCACGCACCTGCTGTGTGCCAGCCACTTGCGCTCCAGTTTGCCCATCTTCCACTCTGGGTAGTAGGGATGACTCGGCCCCATTGAGCACTTTGAGTAAACCCGGGCTCTGAGGAGCAAAGCAGCTTGCTCCCCTCATACAGGAATGCCACTGTGTCCCTGTGGCCGACTTAGGCAGGAGAGGTCCGCCGCTGGGCTTGGGACCTCCGGGCTAAAAGGAGCTGTCGAGGGGAGGGCACTGCCTGGCCTGAGGTAGGGAGGCAACGGCCCTGCCTGTGAGAGCCTCTTTCCCCTAGATGGCAGGGCAGCCTGGGCCTCGCCCCACTGTCCTTCGGGGCCATCCTCCATCAGTCCCCTCACCGCGCTCTGTATCCCCTCCCTAATAGCTGGCAGCTCCTGTACCCCCGCCCCCCAGCCCCTTCCTGCCTCTCCCTGCACCCCTGCACTGCTCTCCCACACAGGATATCGGACGTGCTCCGCTTTTGGGGCCTGGGCCTCAGCAGGTATAGTTGGGTTTATTCTGGGCTTAAAGAGCAAGTCATGGAGGTCCATCTGCCTTGAAAGGGTGCCCTGAGGCAGCTCTGGAGTCGCTGCTGGGCAGGGGTCACCTTGGGCTGCAGGGCTGAGGGAAGCCTGGGCCCAGAGAGGGCCACCAGGACTACCAGGCAGCTTGTGGGGGCCAGACCCAGGAAGGAGGGCTTTCTCTCTCATTTATGGATGTGGCTGCTGGGGCTTGGCGAACGGAAGGGACCCGCCCACCACCCTGCTCACAGGGAGGCCCCTGGGTCGCTCCACCTGTCTTCTGATACTTTCACCAACTTGAACTTGACTTTTGCACTGGGCCTGGGTCTTTACCAGGCACTTGGCTACAGGGATAAGGAAGACCCTTGGGATCTCAGGGCCAAGCCTGGAGTGAGCAGGAAACGGCAACCTGCCTGGGACACAAGAGAGGGTTTCCTGGAGGTGGGGGCCCTTTCATCTGGGTTTTGGAAGATGACCATTGTTGGCCAGGTGGAAGAGGCGAGGAGAAGGCCATCTCAGGCGATGAGAGTGGCCCGAGCAAAGGCTGTGGAGCAGGGGCATAAAGGCAGCTGGGGCAGGGTCTTCCTCTGTCCCCCTTTCACCACCCTAACCCACCTCCCTTTCCTGCAGGGTGAGCCGGACACACCTGAGCCCATGCACGCAGGAGAGGTGGGTGAATGCCTCTTCCCCTTGCCCAACACAGCTGTCTCATCGGATCCAGAGAACTTCCTGTGGGAGAGGGAGACGGTCCCATCCAATCCCGTCCGGTCCTGGCTGAAGCAGGAGAGCAGCCGAGGTGAGGAGGGGGAGCCCTCACCAGCTCCCCACGGCCCCGATCTCTGGCAGCTGCTGCAGAGGGGCTGGCCAAATGCTTTTCTTAGTGTCTCTGCCCAGACAATTCTACTGAGTCCAGAAAGAACCAGATGCTTAACGGACAATAAAAGATGGGATTCTCTGGTCTGATGTAACAATGATAAAAAGATCACGATAATACAGGGAGGTGAGATAATAATTATCTGGCAACCTGATCTAATGGGAGGTTCATGCTGAGCTCCTAGAAGCTGTGGTGAAAAGGGAAACGGGTCACATAGAGTTCTCATTAGGCAGAAGGAAAGCTGCCAAATTATTGTGGTATTTTTCTAGAGCTGAATTTGAGACGTGTTTATCCACATCTTCACGTGAGGTGATTTTGAACAACAGAAAGCCCATTGTAAAATGTTGGGACATTTATCCTTCGGCCCCACACTGAGCATCCCGCGTCTGTGCGCTGGGCTTGTGGGCGGAGGACAGAGGACCTAGTTCCCTTGTTCGTCACTTGGGCTCACCTTCACCTCAGGTCCTCTTGGAGGGTGATGGGAATCTGGTTCCACAGCACTAGCTGGGGAAGAGGGCAGGGAGATGAGCTCAGCAGCAAAGAGACCTCTCCAGACCCTGAGCCCACCCCAGGTGCTTTCTGGAAGGCCTGGCATCGAGCTCCTTCCAGGAGCTGGGGGTAGAGTGACTTTTCTAAGGACTCTCCTTAAAGCCAGTGGCCTTGGTGGCTGAGGTGCCAAGACCCCAGGCTTCCTGGACCAGAGTGAGGATGCAGGACCCAAGAGCCACTCTGATTGAGTAAAAGCCTATCCCCTTTAGTTAACTCTTCATTTGTATAGTCCTTAAACAATAAGACCACACAGAACAGGAACCTCCCCCCCACCCCCGCTGGAGACATTCAAGTTATCCAGCTTGGGATCCCTCTTTTGAAGAGGAAGGAGCTCAAGGGTCCTTGAGCCTGGGTCTACTGGCTCCAAAAGCTTGTCTTTGCCCAGTGGCCAGGAATCAGAGTGGCTGGCTCAGTATTTCTTTCTGGCTTTCGCAACGGAGACATCAACTCTCAGAGATTTACCCACAGTCCCACAGCCTGTTTGGTAGGAAGCCTCCTGCCTGCGGGTCTAGAAGGCATCCTCCAGGGGCCCACCAGCCCCAGCCCACTCCCCAGCCCCCTCTCCTCCTTCCCCAGCTGCACCCCCGAGGCCCTTCTCTCCGGATGCCTCCAGCCCTCTCCTGCCCATGCCCGCCGAGTTCTTTCACCCTGCTGTGTCTGCCAGCCAGAAAGGGCAGGAGAAGGGCCCTGGCACTGGGACCCTCCCCAAGATTGCCCTGCAGGGCTCCTGGGCATCCCTACGGTCGCCGAGTGTCAACTGCAGCCTCCTCCGGCAGGTACGGGCACCTCCTCGTCCCCACGAGCTTTCCTGCTGGGGGGGGGGCATCTGAGTGGGGCCTTGATGTCCAGGTGGAGAAGGAGGGGCAGGTCTGGGGGAAGGGAGGTCTGGCCTACACGGCCAACAGTACTGCACTGGCTGGGGCTGCCTCCTGGGCATACAGAGGGCACGAAGCACAGAGCAGAAAGGTTACTCAGAGCCTGTAGCCCCAGAGCTTGGAGAAGCAGGAGCTGCCCCAGCTCCCGTGTATATGGTGGAAGCAGAGCTGGTCCAGCGCTAGCCCAGCTGCTGGTCCCAGCTAGGTGCCTGGCTGTGTGTGAGGCTCGGGGGCAACAGATACAAAATCCCTGCCCCATGGCTTACGCTGTACTGTTCAGTGTATGTGTTGCAGGGGTGCGAGAGAAGAGGGTAAGCCAAAGTAAGTGCGTGAAAATCATCTATTTGAGAGTGATACCTGGCCGGGAGAACATTGCCCCAGGAAGGGACTGTGGGTGGGGGGGCAGTTCTAGGTGCTGGGAAGGCAGTGAGGGGTGAGGTACATGGATGTCTGGGGAAGAGATTTCCAGGCAGCCTGGGGCCAGGGCTGAGGGGTCCTGGGGGGAGGGGGAGAGTGAGGGGAGGATGGTGAGAAGAAAGGTCCCAGAGGGCTGGAATGGGTTCTCAGGCCACCACGTGAGTGTGTTTAAGGGGGCGGGGGGGGGGGGGGGGGGGGGGGGGGCCGCGCAGGGATCGCAGCAGGAGGCCACTCCCAGTGACCACTGACAAAGGCCACCCAGAAGCTGGGATGGGTGGTGATGTAGTGGAAGGGCCGTGGGGTCCTGGGTGCATTCTGAAGGGAGCTCCCGAGGGATCGGAGGGGCTGCTGTGCCTGTGTCTCTGGGAGGGACAGCCTGCCCCAGCGGCAGAATGGGGGACACCTGCTGCGGGCCCTCAGCTGCCCCCCCCTTGCCGACCCCTCCCCCCACCGCCCCCCAGGCCACAGGGAGCGACACGTCGTTGGAGGCCAGCCGCAGCAACTCGGCGGGCAGCCTGCAGACCACGCTGGAGGACAGCCTGACCCTGAGCGACAGTCCCCGGCGCGCCCTGGGGCCCCCGGCCCCCGCCCCTGGCCCCCGAGCCGGCCTGTCGCCCGCCGCCCGCCGCCGGCTCAGCCTGCGGGGCCGGGGCCTGTTCAGCCTGCGCGGGCTGCGGGCGCACCAGCGCAGCCACAGCAGCGGCGGCTCCACCAGCCCGGGCTGCACCCACCACGACTCCATGGACCCCTCGGACGAGGAGGGCGCGGGCGGCCGCGGCGGCGCGGGCGGCGGGGGCGCGGGCAGCGAGCACTCGGAGACGCTCAGCAGCCTGTCGCTCACGTCGCTGTTCGGGCCGCCGCCGCCGCCGCCGGGGCTCCCGCCGGCGCGCAGGTTCAGCAGCACCAGCAGCCTGGCCGCCGGCCCCGGCCCCGGCCGCCCGCGCAACCCCGCCCGGCCCCGCGGCCTGGCCCGGAGCCCCTCCTGGGCGGCGGACCGCAGCAAGGACGCGGGCGGGGCCCCCCCGGCGCCCCCCGAGCCGCAGCCAGGCCCGGCGGAGCTGCAGCCGGCCGACGCGGCCAGCAAGCGGAAGAGATGAGGGCCGCAGGGGCCCAGCCGGACGCCCCGTCCCACCGTCTTTTACCTCAGGAGCCAGGGGGCAGGCAGCAATACTTTGGCCACAACCCGGGCGTCGCGCAGGGGCCAGCCAGCCAGCGCCGGGCCGCCGAGAGGGTGGGCTTGAGCAGGGTCTGGGTTCACCGAGGCCCAGCCGTGGCCCTGGCCGTGGACCCCAGCCGTGGTCCTTCCCGTGCATATACATATACATATATATATGCATATATATAGAGAGAGACAGACATATATATTTATTTATTTTTTTTACTGAGAGCTTATGATTTCCAGAAAGTGCTACAGTTGGAGGTGGGGGGCGGGGTTGCGGGCTGGTGCCCAGATATAGGGCTTTTGCCGGATGCTTCGGACCCAGGCCAGACCTACCCCAGGGCGGATGGTCCAGCTGGGGCGTCAGCAGCCGAGCTCTTTGGTATCTCCCCCAGCCCGGGGCTGGGAGTAGCTTGGGAGAAGCTCTCAGGCCTCTGAAGTTACCGTGGCCGGGGAGACAGGCTCAGAAGAAGAGGTGAAATTCAGGGTGCGGTTTTTTTTTCCTTTAAAGAAGAAACGCCGCTAAGATCCTCCCCCCACGTATTGGGGTGTCTGTCTTGTTCCTGACTGTCTAGTTGTCGTGAACAGTCTTTTGTAGATGCCCCAGAGCACACTCTTAGTCAACCAGTTAGATGTCTTTCTTTAGGAAAACCAGGGGTGAATAGTCGTACTTTCTTAGGGCAGGGGTGGGGGGTGGAGGGTAGCTCCAGGGCTGGGCAGGGTCTTCAGCCAGTGGGTAGGGCACTTCCAGGGGTGGGGGGGGGTCTGCCATGGCTTTGCCCCCCAGGGAGGCCAAGGGCAGGCATGGAGGCAGCAAAAGAGAGGAAGGGTAAAGGGTATTGAGCGGGGGCGTGCAGAAGCTTGGAAGTCAAGGGCACCAGCCTGGTCTGTGCCGGCTAGGCTCCACCGCGGGCGCCCTGGATTAATGCGGTCAGTGGTGGCCGTTACATGCCACCTTTTATCTATCCGCCAGGTGGGCACTGAGCCATGGTCATTCCGGGAGGTCATGCTCCCCCGGGCCCCTGGGCAGGTCTGCCCCCTGCAGTGGAGTTCAGCGGAAAGCAGATTCAACAGGATTCTAAGCCCAGATGGGGACACCTGTCTAGTCCTGGGACCAGCCTCGCTCTCCTCCCCCCACCACTTTCCCAGGCTGCAGATCAGGTTTTACTCTAGCTGTGCTTCCCAAATGGGTTCACAGATGGGTATTTTTTTCGTTGAATAGTTACGCATTTATTTCAGTATTTATTAAGAAATAAACCGTACACCGAACCCATGATTTCACAGATATTGCTTAGGTCAAGGGGAAGTCTTCAGAAGTGAGTGGGTTTAAGGTCACTTTAAAGAAGCCGGTTGGGAAGGTAAAGGTAGAGGCCGTTGGTCTGCACACCCACGGGGTCCTGGGGTGGGAAAGGCTGCCAGTTCAGGAAATGCTACACTTCGAGCAATAACCCGGGTCCTTTGCCTTGGTGAGTTCCCCTCAGATGGCTTCAGCGGGGCCCTGCGGAGGGGCCCTTGTCCTCATTCCCAAACCCTGACCTTAAAGAAACTTGCCTTCAGGCCGGGCTGGTGAGTGGTACTGAGGGACTGACAGCTTGCATGGGCTCTGGGGACCTTCTGGGCGCTTGGGGCCTGGGCATGAGGCAGCGAGTGACTCAGCCTTTGTGGTCTGCAGAGCCCTTCAGAGCTGGTGTGGGGAGTGGGGAAAGGTGGGTAGGCCCACTTCCCGCATGAGGAAACTGAGGTCTGGAGAAGTTGAAGTGGCCAGCTGGGGATACCTCAGTGCCCTGGAGTTCTGTAGTGGGCCAGCACCTGGGTGTGTGGGGTATGAAAAAGTGTGCCCCGTGGTCAGAAGGAGTGGGTTCAGAAGGCAAAACCTGCATGTGGGTCTCCGCTGGCCCTGTGGGGTTGGGCCAGCGTGGAGGTCAGAACTGAGTCAGCCCTTCAGCCTCCGGAGTTTGGCTCTCCTCCCCTGGAAGTGTGGATGGTGGACCACTGTGTGGACAGCGAGGAGATGCCCGAGCGCTGAGCCCCCTCCCAGGATGGCAGCCTCCAGCGGGAGGACTGTCTGAGCCCTCCCTCTCAGGGAGCAGCTGGACCTGGGGTCCTGTCCTCTTCGGCTCCTGGCAGCTCCTCAGTGGGGTTGGGGGAGGCTGGGCCCAAGTCCCAAGCTCCCTGCTCCCGCGAGCCTTGTGCTGCGTCCCTTGCCCTGCTGTTTTGGGATGGGGGGAGCTTCTCCGGGGAAGAAGAGGCCCCGGGTAGATCGACCTCACCCTCCCTCCCAGCCTGGCACTGGGCCCGAGCTATCGTGGCTGGAGGGGGGGCCACACGCACATTAGGTTTGCAAGTCAGCACGTTCCCAGAGGGACATGTGTGCTGGAACCAGAAGAGGGACATGGGACCTAGAAAGTCTGAGTAGAGGACCGATTGGGGTTCAAGGGTTTGGTCTCTGACACTCTCAACAGCGTCCATTTTCCGGGCCTGGGTGTCGTCTTTTTTAATCTGCACGGCAGCCCCTAGCAGTGTGCATGGCTGTGGCTAGGCACAGTCCGAGGAAGTGACGTTCCCGGCATCACCAGGTGATGGGTGCCTGGGCAGGGAACATGCCCTGGTGTGTGCGACATGAAGCCGTCCTTTTACCCTCAGCCTTGTGGTCCCAGAATGAGCAGACACATGGGGAGGATGGTCTAGGCAAAGGGACTGGCCCTAGTGAAGCCGGGCCGGACAGAGCGGGGTGAGTCTAGAAGTGGGATCGGCTGAAGGTAGAGAGAAGCTTGCTTTGGGGTGGGAGGGGCTGTGGTCGTGGGATAAGGGGCTTATTCCCCGGGGTGGGGGGGGGGGGTGCTCCAGGTACTGTTCCCAGGTACTGGGCTTTGTTTCTGGGAGCTACAGGAGTTAGGGGATCCGGGAAGCCGTGATCGGCTGGCTAGGACAAGCCAGAATGAATGGGGGTTGGCTGAATGGCCCCTCTGCCCTCCTGACCCTGTGACCTGTTCATCACAAAAGCACAAACGTACCCTAAATCCCACAGATCTGGCCCCAGGGAGAGAGGGGAACTTGGTGTCGGACACCCCAAGCCATTGGCTTGCAGGGCTGTACCGAGTGGTGGCTGGCAGGCATCTGCCCAGATGGACCCGAGACCCGATGGGGCCGTGGCCCACCCTGGCCAAATGCTCTTCCTGTCCCCTGCCCAACCTTCTTTGCCCCTGGTAGCTCCCCAAAGGATGAAGCGTGCACAGTACCAGCCCACTGGCCTGTCTTCCCCCCAGATCCTTCCCTCAGAGCCTTCTGTTTTCTAGGGCCATCTCGGGCCCTCTTTGCTGCGCTGTGTAAGGGCTTGGGGTCTTAGAAGCCACTCTTTAGCCCAGATACACGTACTCTTTTTGTCTTTGTGCAATAATCAGTGTTCCTGGTGGAGCCTGGCTTGGCTAGGGCCTGGGGAGGAGGCAGAAGCTGCCACCTCCAGGAAGCCCTCAGCCCGGGCCCGCCACCGTGACTATCACACTCTGAGTGGCTGTACAGTTTCTACAGTGTGAATGAACTTCCCTCCTAGTTGCTGACGGCGCTGGTCCCTGCTGGCCCAGATGGCCCAGGCGTAGAGAAACCAAGTGGCAGCTGCCACCATGTTGTTTTGAATAAAAACCCAGAAGCCTATTTCAGAAACTTTCCATGTGCCTGTGCTATTCTTTCTTTCGTGGGGTGGGTGCTGAGCTGGGGGTTTCCCGGGGTGGGGTGGTGAGAGGTTCTCCATCAGGCTCCAGCTGCCGGGCTTAGGGTGTCTAGGACCTAGAAAACTACCCCATGGGAGGGTCCTCTCCCGGCTGGTGTCTGCTGGGCTGGGGAGGAGGTGGAGCCTAGCTCTCACGCTCTGGGCCTGTACACAGGAGTAATTCATAGTTGACTCACTCTTGGCACTGTTAATGAAATTCATATTCTAGGTATTATTAGGATTCTCTTGGCTGCAAAAGACAAAAGCCCAACTTGAATGAGCTTAACAATAAAAGAAAAAAGCCAGAGAGAGTGAGAGAAGGAAAAGAAAGAAGAAAGGAAAAAAAAAGAAGAAGAAAACAACTTAGTGGTTTGAGAGATGGTGTTGGCTTCAGGTATAGTCGGATCAAGCGCTCCAACTATGTTACTAGGACACAGTCTCTCTTCGCCTCTTGGATCTGCTTCCCTCTACATTTACTGCCCTCCTCTTCTAGTGGTCACCGGCAACCCAGGCTTAGGGCCTGTCTACCCATCCCCCGATGGATGAAATCTTCCCTCCCTGACTGTCCAGCCAAGTCCATGGACTCTCATCGGTTGGCTTGGGTATGTGCCACGGAGTTGCCACGCTCTGATTGGCCAGGCCTGAGCACTGGGATCCAGGGATGGGGGTGACACTCCTGCCTAAGAGCAGGAAAGGGACAAAGTGCCCGAGGAAGGTTGCCGTGCACTTGCTGGGAGGAGGGAATACACGGGGGCTGGGGTTTTGTCCCTGGAAAGGGCTGTTGTCATTGCTGCCCTCCTAGGTGAGGCCAGAGGCCCAGAGAGGTCCGGAGAGTGGGCATCAAAGGGCTGTGAGAGTAGAACATCTGAGCTGGTGGCTAGAGGGCCTGCCCATCCCCACCACCTTGTCTGGGCCTCTTGTCCCCCTTTCCCCCTTATGTGTCCTTTCTCTCCTTGGTGGCATGGCTGGGCAGGGACACAGGGACCTTGGGATGGGGTATGACCTCCAGTGCCGCACCTCCATCTCTGGGGCCCCGCCCACTCTGGAGAATGGGGTGAGCTAAGGCTACCCTTTGTCCTCTCGCCCCTGTGCTCCCTGTTTTTGCCTTGTGATCCCTTTCTGGTGGCCGCTCTCGGAGCTAATAGAGAAATCACCATCCAGGTTCCAGAGGGACCCGGATGCTCCGCTCAAGGTGACTGCCAGCCTGCTCAGAGCCTTGGGCTTTCCTGCCC